TTTTTTTCCAACGCAATACTGCTTTGTTTAGCTTAGCTCTCACCTTGAGTAAATCCCGTCAGCTTCCACCTTCCTACCTTTCTAGCCCCCTCCCCTTCTCTCTAGGAAGGGCCCAAGTAAATCCCGTCAGCTTCCTCCTTTCTACACCCCCTTCCCTTCTCTCTCCACCTATGCTTGGGAAACCGTTTTACTTGCGCCCTTCGGCCTCCACCTCTTCAGAAGACGACAAATTCCTTGAATGTCACGTCAGCATCGTACTGACACGCCCACTGTCAAACTATTTAGATCAGTGCTACGTCAGCAGTTTGCTACTATCCTTCTTCCAGCTGACCAACTCCACCCTGACCTTAGTGATCACTGAAAACTACCGTCTTCACCTGAATAGAATTCCTGGTCATTAAAGCGGTATTTGACACAGCTTTCAGTCCAGATACGGCCATGATTACCGGGCGTTCTATTTGGGTGAAGAAGGTAGGCTCCCTATTGTTTAATACGCCCGATATGTAACTTCTGAGACCATTTCCACGTCAGCAGCTTTCGAATTACGTCACACCCAACCTGCTTGCGTGGATGAGGGAAATACCATGCAGCCCGTTTGACCAATTTACCTCGTCTGCCCCTGCTGTCCTTCCCTTACCACATCTAGTCAGCGATGTGCTGACTTTGTCGTAATCAGCATTCAGCAATGTGGACTGAGCGCCTCCCTGACCTGACCTGAGTGATCGTGGATTATACTCCGAATCTGCCAAGCTTAATATGCGAAAAACTGGAACCACTCTCACGTCAGCAGTTTACCGATTGCTTATCGACCAAAACTGCTTGCGTGGGCGAGGATAATACCATACACCCCATGCGTCAGATTTACCTCGTCTGTCAATGCTGCCCCTCTCATTCCATACCCCCGGTCCCACATCTAGTCATCAATGTAATGACTACTTCGTAGTCATCAATCACAGCACTGTGTGTGTTCAGGTAACTTAATGCCTTCTATAATCATTACTCTGGAGTCAATGCGACGTTAGTAACATGCTGATAATGAATGACACCAGCTATCCTTTTTTTTTTTTCTTTTTTTTTTTTGAAAGGTTTAAACGGGCCCATTGCCCAAGGCTGATATTATCAATGAGAAAATTGAGGCCGGGGTCCTCATAGTCTACCCGGAAGAAGCAAACAGAAACTGCTGAGAACCGGGCTCAGTGTCCCTCTTGTATCATTTTAATGATGATGATACCAGCTATCCTAGGCTAGTAGGGTAGCATCATATCACCACCGTGGATTTTCAAATGTACCACGTCAGCATGCGTGATAAGTATTATTAATCTGCTACCCTCCCTTCGGTCTCTGCGGATCAAAGTCTCTCACACTGACTCCCGTAGACTGTTCATTTACCTATTGTCGTGATGCCACATCAGTTTCATCAATGTCTATGTGACCAACGGATATTCTTACTCAGATGGTAAACACTAGCCAGTCCGCACTTCGATTCAGCAAGGGCATTCTCCGCTCCACTCCACCGGCAATGTTTGCTAACAAGCTGTGAAAGTCAACGATTGTAATCAAAAAATTAAGACAACGACTATGGTGTGTTAGATAACGGAACACATGGATGCACAGCAAGTATTGGCGATGCCACTCCTCACCATGCATCCTGGTGTCAAAACCGCTTCCATGTCTGCCGGTGACGTGGATGATTCTAGCGCCTCTGCTTACCGCGCATGCGCAAAGCGCCCTCTGATCAGCAGTCTAATCTGTTGAACTATCAATTTTTTTTTCCAAGGTGGAATTGTCTGTCATAGGTTTGTCTGTGGTAGCTCGGGGGAACGTTCAGACAAGTTGAGAGAAGCGAGATACAGGATCTTGGGGCCAGCTACGGTCCACTTTTCCACTTGTGGGGCCCTGTAGAGAAAAGGTTCCCGCCTACCTTCTTCCCCTGAGCATAACGCATATGCGTTGTATTCGAGTTTCGAAATTTGAAAAAAAAGTGAGATACAGGATCTTGGGGGCAGCTAAGGTCCACTTGCGGGGCCCTGTAGAGAAAAGGTTCACGCCTACCTTCTTCCCCCGAGTATAACGCATATGCGTTGTATTCGAGTTTCGAAATTTGAAAAAAAAGCGAGATACAGGATCTTGGGGGCAGCTAAGGTCCACTTGCGGGGCCCTGTAGAGAAAAGGTTCACGCCTACCTTCTTCCCCCGAGCATTAGATGATTAGATTAGATGATCGTAGAGAAAATGATACCAGAAAGAGATATCAAATCACACATACTCAGTACAAAGTACATTAATATGTGACAACAATTGATTGAAAAACACGCCGGTGGGTATTGGCACCCCGACCGGTTTCGACAGCCGCCACGCTGTCCTCCTCAGGGGTATCTCCACCAATCCGTCTCCCTCGTCAATTCCTACTATCCTCATTCCCACCTCCGCCGTCAACCCGCTTCCATCTCTGGAAATGATCGCGGGTCTATAGGCGTCGGACCCGGAAAGACCGATAGATGCGTCAATCATTATTGATATAGGATGTTCCTACTTTCTCGTTACCCTGCCTGTACTGTTGTCGTTACTCTGTCCAAAAGGAAATCGTCGAGTAGCCTTCATTACCCACAGGTTACCGGTTCGAAGCTCAACGCGGCGGCCGCTGTCTACTTACCATCAAATCTAGCTCCTATATGCCACGTTCTGGACTACATACCTAATCTAGGTTGGGAGCTTTACAGCCGTGTTCACAGTTCCCGGGCCCAAATCCCAGAGGCCCAAAAAACACATATACACTTCGAAAATTGCCTAGTCCCCCCCGTTATCAGAGTCATGTCCCGTTCGGTACCGTATATCGAAATGCAAAATTTGAAAATCCAACAAACGAAAGGCAGAACCAATCCAAAAGCCTGCAATACTTCGATGTCAGCAAAACCCTGTCACCGTGACTCCGTCGAACAAACGAAAAGCAAAGCTTATTCGAAAAAGCAAAGCTAATTCGAAAAAACTTCAAACCCTGTCACAATGACCCTATCACATTTGCCTTGTCCAACAGACGAAAAGCAAAGCTAATTTCGAAAAAACTTCAAACCCTGTCACAATGACCCTATCACATTTGCCGTCAAAACCTTGTCACATTCCGACAAACGAAAGGCAAGGCTAATTCGAAAAAACTTCAATACTTCGACATACGCAAATCCCCTCTCACAATTACCCTGTCACATTTGCCTTAAAAAAAACCCGTCCTTTGCTATCTTACCTTACTACTACTTAGTTCCATAGTATGTCGGAAATTACTCTACGAATTGCAAAATTCACGGTAACAAAATGACGAAAACAAGAGGAAATAAACGACAAATGTAGCTTGATTGAAGAGTGCTTACACTCCTGAGTCTAACTAAGTCCGTTTCATCCAGTCGTACATACAACCAGTCATCCATGCAGCCACTCGTATGTCCATGACCATATAGCATCTCTTCCTCAAGCAAAACGCTTGAGCACCCTCTTTAGGAAGTCTGCGGGAAATTCTTTAATTTTGAGCTCCCGTTGCACGCTGAGTACCCTCCTCGGTATCGCTGTCGGCGCGAATACCCTTACAAGGGTATCCGCCCTGTTTTTTTGCAAGCGACAGAGAATAGCTTGGTTTGAAGTTTAAGTATACCGCGCTAGGCGCGGCTGCGTCTGTAAGTTACGTGACCGGGTGGTTGACTAGAGTAAAGAGTGCGTGAGCGCGCAGGTTTAAGGTGCGCGTGATTCACCCCCTGATGTTGATTACGAAACCGGCGCGGGCGCCGGCCTGTTTATTTTTATTCTTATCTTTAAATTTTTATTTTTGGATTACTCCTGATTAAACTAGGATCTAGGGGATATTTTCTTTCGATGGCTACGTTTGACCGAGTTGAGCGCGCGTGCGGAGAACGACCCCGACGACGAGCCGCGCTTGGGATTTCAGCCCCCCATGATGCCGGTTCGCGTGCGAGTCCGATAGAGGCGTGTTACCGCGCGTACCCCCTATGCTACAGCGAACGAGAAACGCCCTCGGCTGGTCCACCTCTGCGATTGCAACTGATTAGCTTTCATACTATGGACTGGTAGCTCGGCGGGGATACGCCCACCGAAGGGAGGTGACAACTCCCGTAAGGTGTAGGTAAGTCGTGCCTCGCGTAGGCCCTATCCTGTCGTAGGGGCTCGCGAGAGGTATGGCTGGCGCACTCGGCCGGAGCGGCTTAAGGAAGCTCCACATGCATTATCTGCGACGAAGGATTTAGACCAACTCCTGCGTGACGTGGCCGGGAGGGTCCCGCGCTGCCCTGATGCGGTGTCGGACTGATGCGCTCGACATCGCTACCCGATGGTTTGTATTCCTATCGATCCGGTGTAGGCAGCTACCGACGCTTTTTTGCTCTTTGCTTCCCCATGAACGATAGGATTGTCCGCATTTGAACTCCAGTCGTTCCGCCTGCCACAACGACTCCTCGTTCTTAGAAGACTGGATACATCGAACATAAGGGAAGATGGGGTCGATATATTCATTGTCGTACCAAAAAAATCCCAGATACCTTCTCCTTTATCCGTCCTTTTCAAACTCAAATGTCCGGATAGCATGTCTCAAATCTTCTCTTGATCTCCTCCACTGGGGTCTGCTTCTTACCATTTTGATGGATCACGATACTGACGCCGTCCATCAGTCTCACACCGAACACCTCCTTCCTTAGTCTACCCAGACTCTGCAAAAACCGAAACTCTGCATACGCACACATTAGACAAGCCAGTGCTGGGCTCGGGCTCTTGCCCATCGGGATACCGACGACCTGTCGCAGTATGACACCGGTCGCTTTTGTGAATGTATGTCGTAATTACCACCTCACGTACTTGCCGATATCTTCCATATCGATCGTCCTCCAGTGATCATCACCCACAGTGCGTCCGAATGTGCATCCTTTCCCCTTCATGTTGACCCGCACAAGCTGCCTCCCTTTACTCCTATGGTGCTCCAGTGCCCAGTTGACAGCTTTGATGATGTCTTCATGTGGTAGTTTACTGAACATGTTCTTAATGTCGTAGGACAAGGACACAAGTTCAGAATTCACTCGCATGTTTTTCTACATTCTTCTTCTTCTTCTTCTTCTTCTTCTTCTTCTTCTTCTTCTTGGTCTTGGTCTTCTTCCTCGTCGTCTTCTTCCTCGTCGTCTTCTTTGTCGTCCTCTTCTTTGTCGTCCTCTTCGTCATCATCCTCTTCGTCGTCGTCCTCTTCGTCGTCGTCGTCGTCGTCGTCCTCCTTGCCGTCGTCCTCCTCCTCGTCGTCGTCGTCCTCCTTGTCGTCGTCGTCCTCCTCGTCGTCGTCCTCCTCTTCGTCTTCTTCTTCTTCTTCTTCTTTTTCTTCTTCTTCTTCTTCCTCCTCCTCCTCTTCGTCTTCTTCTTCTTCTTCATCGTCGTCGTCGTCGTCTTCGTCGTCGTCTTCTTCGTCTTCTTTTTCTTCTTCGTCTTCTTCTTCTTCTTCTTCGAATTTAATTTAATTTAATTAATTAATTTAATTAATTAATTAATTAATTAATTTAATTAATTTAATTAATTTAATTAATTTAATTTTAATTTAATTTAATTTACAGAAAGCCTTTTTCCAAGTCGACCATCCTGACGGTGGTAACAGAACCACTGGGATTGAGGGCTTGTTCATTGGGTTGCTCCATCTATTGGTGGGGAGCGGCACCTGCTGGAAACTGGTCCATCGTTATCATACAGTGTGATGGGGCTATGGTTGTTTGACTTCTGATTTGGAGGAGCTTATTTGTTCCCTTGGGGTTGCAAACGCTAGCTTATCCTTCATAATGCTCCCTCATTTCTAGCGGCCTAGCCCTGTTCCCTGGAATTTCAATTGACGTTTGTATCTTGTATCTCCCTTTCCCTTGCTCACGCTGCGTTCCAGGAAACTGCAACCCTTCTCAAAATTGAGGTGAAAGAGAGGTGAAATCAGTTAGACTGTATGGGGAAAATGCCTCTCACGGGCAGGGTAGGCGTCCACCAGTGCATGGTCTTTGTGTTAGCCAGGCCGTGGACCGGTGGCCGCACCCGTGCACCCTAAGAAAACCGGTAGGGCAAGGAGCAACATGCAATCCCTTCACTGTGAAGTAGCTATGTGTGCAGGGGCTCCCTTTTTTTTTTTTTTTTCGGAATGAATCTTTTTTTTTTTTTTTTTGGGACAAAACTCCAATCTATTCGTGGGGAGCAGCACGTGCTGGGAACCAGGCCCACCGTCCCATATGAAATTACAGCACCGAAATACCAGGACGGATACCCGGCTTCACCTGAGAAAATCTGAGAACAAACCAAGAAATTTAGAAAACCTTTTTTTTTTTTTTTTTAGAAATAAAAAAAAACTGAGTAACTGCCAGGGGCTCCTTGTAGGTAGTGAAAGGTTAGTTTCAGGAAATAAATATACAAGGAGCCCCGGGCAGTTTTAGGAAATAAATATATAAATAAATAAATATGAAAGGTTAGTTTTAGGAATTAAATATATAAATAAATAAATATGAAAGGCCATTAAAAAAAGGGGCAACTTTTGCGCAGTCAGGAAAACAGTTTGAAAATGCATTCCAGGCATATACACCCCCGCCGGGCCCTAAAGCTAGCTTGTATACATTCAACATTTCGGCGTTTTGCCTAGACTGCATTTTGAAACTGCAACCGTGGCTGCACCCTAGTTCTCCCTAGAAAGAAAGAATAAAAAGTTTCAGAGCATTCCCATTGCCTTGTGACAGTTCCATCCGATTCATGGAGTGTTTTATCTTACCACCTTCTTTTCTATTCTTTCGCTCAGGAAAATGCTTCATTTAGGACACTGATTTCAGGTCCGTCGCATTGCCCTTTGTGAGGGCAATGCGCTTCATTCTCTTTTCTTGATCTTTTGGCTTCATTCTCTTTGCAGGGAGCAGCCCGTGTTGGCACCGGGGCCAGCGTCCCTTAGATACCTGACACCACATGCTTGTTCTTCCTGACCAACGAGTACGTGGATCGCTTGTCGGGCCTCTTGAATTGCAACTCGTTTGGTAAAAGGGTAACCGTGAACGGCAGGATTCGAACCTGCGCGGGCAGAGCCCACATGATTTCTAGTCATGCCCGATAACCACTCCGGCACGTCCACCAGGTTCATAATGTGAAGGCCCTTAACTCTATGTATATGGAGCAAATTGAATCTGAGGCATGTCCACCTCAAACCCACTTAGAGGATGTATCATCCTTGAGTTGCATCCCATAGGCGATGGGTTCGATTCCCAAGATATGCACTTGGAGCAGGTAGGGGGTGGGATTGACTGAGGGGGCCGAGTAATTGTTCGCTGGGGGAGGGGGCGGGATTGACTGAACTGGCCCAAGCGCATGACCTGCTATCTGCTCCTCTTTCTCCGCTTTCGTGCACTAACGGTCCATGAAATATTTTTTTTTTGTTTTGTTTCTCGAGAAAAGGGTGTGGCTCAGTGTTCTTTTCAAAATTGTCTTCCTTTGGGTTACAATAGATGCTAATTTTGAGCAACACACCCAAGAACCTAGCTCAGTGGGTACACCCATCAACTGTTGAAATACTGACCAGAGTTCAAATCCAGTTGACGGAACTCGATGATGAGGAAAACCAAATACTTCTGAATTGCGTGGGGCCTGTCAGCTCAATGACAATATCTCACGGCCGTCGTCTCTTTCCGGAAAAAAAAAAAAAAAAAAAAAAAAAAAAAAAAAAAAAAAAAAAAAAAAAA